CACACACACACACACACACTAAAACTCAATCAAGAGCCCAGCATGGTGGTTTATGCCTATATTCCCAGAACTTGGGAGGATGAGGCAGAAGAATCTTTTTTTTTTATTGTGAAAATACCATTAGAGGGGTTACAATTACATGGGCAAGATAATGAGTACATTTCTTATCAAGCATTGTTCCCTCCTCCCTTTTTTCCCCTTCCTATCTCCCACTCCCCTCACCCCCCTAAAAAGTCTTCAGTATTATTGTTTGTGTATGTGGTACTGAGGAATCGAACCCAAGGCCTCATGCATGCTAAGCAAGCACTCTACCATTAAGCCACATTCCCAGCCCTCAGAAGAAGCTTGAGCTGGAGGCCAGCCAGGACTACCCAGTGGTATTCTGTCTCATAAAAATGAAACCACATGCTGGGCACCGGTGGCTCACGCCTGTAATCCTAGCTACTCAGGAGACTGAGATCTGAGGATCACAGTTCAAAGCCAGCCTGGGCAAGAACATCCATAAGACTCTTATCGCCAATAAACCACTAGAAAACCGGAAGTGGCGCTGCGGTTCAAGTGGTAGAGCGCTTGCCTTGGGCTGAAGAGTGCAGGGACAGCGCCCAGGTCCCCAGAGTTCAAGCCCCACAACTGACAAAAAAAAGAAAGAAAGAAAGAAACCACAAACAAAACTAAACGAAAACCTCCTCAACAAAGGTAATAAATTATAGGATTAACCAATGGGATTGATTCCTTACCAAGTGGGCAAAACCAGGAGCCTTAATCTTACACCGATAAGGGCGGCTGCTGCCATCAGACACCAGGTACACTCCAAATTCTCCCTGTCAGAAGAAGGATGGAGAACTCATTAACAGAAAGAATGCTCTTCTCTGACAACAAAGATTTTTTTGTTCTTATGTCCTGTTACCAATGAGGGCGCATTTTGTTGAATGTCTATCTCCAGCCACTCATTCCACATCCAGTCTTTTCCTTCCCTTCCTCGCCTCACCTTAGGAGCCTCAATGGCAGTGTATGTGGCTCCTGGAGGAACTTGGTAACCCTCAGTGTACAGCTTAAAGTGGTGAATTAATGACTCCATGGAAGTCTGAGGGGAAGAAAAAGGAGCATCAGGAAACTAGATCCAAGTTCTGTCCTTTGGCCTTCCCCAGCCCTGAAAGTAATCTCAACACTCACAGTTATTAAAAACCCACATGTAATTCAGTAAGCTGAGAGACACAAGTTTAAAGAGAAAAGAGAAAAGAAAAGGAGAGAGAGAACTATGAGAAGTACAGAACCTTATATAGTGAATTCTTTGAAAAAAGGAAACTAAAAAGTAGGATTTAATCAAGGACACATCTTCCTGCCATTGGTCCCTTTCCAATATTCCACCTCCCTTCCCTTTTGCTGCAGCCAACCTTCATCTCTGCTCGCTTAGGTGGAGACACTTTGGCATCGTCAACCTTAATCTCTCCAGGAGGCATCTTGTTCAGACACTGTGAGATGATTCGAAGGGACTGGCGCATCTCTTCTACCCGACACAGATACCTGAAGTGGATGATAGCAGACTCTGAGTAAAAGAGCAGGATGAGGAGCAGTATGGGGATAGGAAGATGCCCTCTGGCTAACTTCAAAGCTTGGCTATGCTTGGCTTGCCCTGTAGTAGTTTGATTCTGCTATGGGGGCCTTCCCCAAATCTTATTTTCTCAGACCATGGCGTGTAATAATTTTCCTCTTAAACTGTTTTGGACTACAGATTGTGGAAGTCAAATGGAAAAACAAACAAAAAGGATAACTGTGGCAAATCTTACTGAGTCAGTAAACAAGAGTGGAATTTGAAGCTTGGAATCTACTGGAAGGAGCACTGGATCAGGCAGAATCTAGTGTTAACCACTATTAACAGATTAATTTCTAACTTTTACACTGGTTTTTTTTTTTCCAGCTATGAAGTGCAACCCAAACTATTTCTATCCAAGACAAAGATGACATAAGGGTAAAATAAGATGTCACATATGTGCACACAACCCATGTTCTTATAAATGCTAAACACATACTCTCCCCTGAGCTTTACTTCTAGCCCAAGCAACCCAATTTAATACATTATATGAGCTCCCAGAGATACTGCAAAGTACAGCAAAGAAGAAAGGACAAAGAGAAAACAAACTAGACAGTAGCTGAGAAAGGATTTGGCCCTTACCTATCATAGCAGTCTCCTCTACAGCCAATAGGAACATCAAACTCGATCTGGTCGTAAACATCATAGGGCTGGGTCTTCCGTAGGTCCCAGTGAATGCCTGATCCTCGAAGCATTACTCCACTGTGGGGTATGACAGATATATTGACCACACTCCACAAATCAAGAAACGAGACACTAATTCTTTATCTCCACTGTTCCTCCCCCATACTATGGTAATAAGATACAAACTAAGGGCATGGCAATGCTTTCAAACATTCCTGAAGACAAGATACTGGGCTATAACTCCCTACTCCCATTCCTACCCATAAAGAAAGAAGCTGCATTCTCCCACCTAAATCCGTAGTTAAGTGCATCTTCTGCTGATATAACCCCAATGTCAACTGTCCGATTTCGCCAGATCCTATTGTTGGTAAGCATCTATTGATCACAAAAACTGGTATGTTAATACTCTTCAAAGCAATCTTCAATACCTTTCTAGTTCTTTACAATTGGGAATTTAAAACTTGTTAGGCCTTTTATCAGATTGAAAAGAGGTTTTTCATCTTTGTTTCTTTCCCTACTTCCCTCCCTCTCTCCTTCCCTCCCTCTCTTTTTTCCCCTGGTAACGGGATTGAAACCAGGGCCTCTCATAAGCATTCTATCACTTGAAGCATATCCCTAGCCCAATAACTTTCTCAAATCGACTTCTACCTTACCTCCTCCACCTCATCAATCCGAAGAGAGAAGTTCTTAGAAAATTCATAAATGTCATCCATAAGCCCAAGGGGTAAATCCTAGAAGCCAAGTGACGGTGATTCAGTGTACAATATATAACCTACACTAAGGCCAGCCAGCTCAGCACCCCTCCCTCCAGGAGGACAGCTTAAGTTTCCAGCAACCAGCACTGCCCTCCAGTGGTCATATAGCAAAGAAGACTGGACTGGAAATTTGGAGGGAGAGGAGTTTACTCACCTGGTGCACTCCTCCTGGTCGGATATAAGCAGCATGCATTCGGGCTCCAGATACTCGCTCATAGAACTCAAACATCTTGTTAGGACAAACTTGGAATTAGTGACAAAGTCCTAAATCCAACAAAATGGTGGACCAATGCCCCACCTTTGCTTTCTTATACCCAACCAAACCCTCCTGATAGGAATTGCTAAGAATATAATCCAAATTAAACATACCTTCTCCTAAATGGTCTCAGTGTTTTCTTTCTCCTTTTTAAACAGCTTGTCCGCATACCCTCTCTTTCTATACATCCTTCTCTATTCCTATCTTTGCTTCCCCCTCATACCTTCTCCCGTTCTTCAAACATCCAGAAGAAAGGGGTCATGGCACCAATGTCCAGGGCATGTGTGGTCACGGCCATGATATGGTTCAAGATCCGTGTAATTTCTCCAAACAGTACTGTGAAGGGGTGAAAATAAGAAGAGAATGTTATAGGAGCCAAGAACTCATCCTGAAGAGTAGTTTGGGCAGAGCCTAGGTTCTGAATACTAAGCTTTGGGTTCAGTGCTCCTAAGATACAGAAGTCACTGTGCTATGCTCACAATGAGAGGTAGGAATAAAGGGGCAGAACATACCTCGGATCCACTGTGCCCGGGGAGGAGGCTGGATGTTTAGTAACTTCTCCACAGCTAGTGAATAAGCCTGTTCATTACACATCATAGACACATAATCTAGCCGGTCAAAGTATGGAAGGGCCTGAAAAAAAATAGGAATGTAGGGAGTTTTGGGGGTTTTTTTTTTTTTTTTGGTCAGTCGTGAGGCTTGAACTCTGGGCGCTGTCCTTGCACTCTTTAGCTCAAGGCAAGCACTCTACCGCTTGAGCCACAGCGGCACTTTCGGTTTTCTAGTGGCTTATTGGAGATAAGAGTCTCAGGGACTTCCCTGCCTGGGCTGGCTTTGAACCACGATCCTCAGATCTCAGCCTCCTACTCAGGATTACAGGTGTGAACCAACAGCGCCCGCCAGGAATGTAGGTTATATCTAACAGGAATAGCTCAGCACCTCTCAGTGGGCATTAGAAGTAGATACTACCCAAGTATTTTTAGACTCAGGAGCTCCTGCAAGATAGAATGAAATATCCCAGTAACTAGGAGTATGCTGGTAAATGTTTAAAAACAAAACAAAACAAAAACCTAGCTCTCCAAAATGAGGGGCAAATCCTCATTCATCATGTTGGCCAGTTTCCCTGGTGAAAATACTCCCAGTATGGCTAATGTTAAGCTAATGACATATAAGTGAACGCACTGGGAGCATAACGTATCATTACATACTATACAGATACAGATACAGATAAAGAAAAAATAAATAAATGCCAGCTGGATGTCAGTGGCTTATGCCGGTAGCTACTCTGGAGGCTGAGGATCTGAGGATAGTAGTTCAAAACTAGCAGGAAAGTCTGTGAGATTCTTATCTCCAATTAACTGCCAAAAGCCAGAAATGGTGCTATGTTCAAAGCTGTAGAGCCCTACTAGCCCTGAGCACAAAAGCTTAGGAATAGTGCCCAGGCCTTGAGCTCCCGCACCAAAAAACAAAAAAAGATACACACAAAATAAAAGCCTCAGGGCTGGGAATCTGGCTAAGTGGTAGAGTGCTAACATGGGTTTGATTCTTCAGTACCACATAAACAGAAAAAGCAGAAGTGGTGCTGTAGTTTAAGTATAGAGTGCTAGTCTTGGGCAAAAGCAGCTCAGGGGCCAAGCCCAGGCCCTGAATTCAAGCCCCAGAGCTAGCAAAAAAAAAAAAAAAGCCTCAAAGGCATAGCCTAAGAAAAACAGAGCTGGGTGCTGGTGGCTCACGCCTGCAATCCTAGCTACTCAAGAGGCTCAGATCTAAGGATCATGCTGCAAAGCTGGGTGGGACCAGAAAGTCCATGAGACTCTTATCTCCAATAATCACCAGAAAACTGAAAGCAGAGCCATGGCTCAAAGTGGTAGAGTGCTAGCCTTGAGAGCTTAGGGACAGTGCCCAGATCCTGAGTTCAAGACCAACAACAACAAAATATACATATATATAGTAACAAGAAAGTGATGAATTTTGAGTAGTTAAATTAAAAAAAAATGGGGGGAGGCAGAACTAGGGTTTCAACTACAGTGCTCACTACTTGAACCCCATCCCCAGCCAAAACCAAAATCAAAAATTATACATATCAATGGGTACTATGTAATTTTTTTGCACTAGTACTGGGGTTAACTCAGGGCCTATGCACTATCCCTTAGCTTTTTTGCTCGAGGTTGGTGCTCTACCTCTTGAGCCACACTTTCCTATGTAGTGTTCCAATATAAGTAATGAAGTATTTACCTTTTTTTTAAGTCATAAACTTAAAAAACAAATTTAACATTACATATAACTTAATTTTTAATAATACTTTTCAACAACTGGCTCAAAAAATTTCTGAGCCAGATGCTGGTGTCTCACACCTATAATTCTAGCTACCCCCGAGGCTGAGATCTGAGGATCACTGTTCAGGAAAGTCAGTGAGACTCTCATCTCCAATAAACCACCAGAAAACCAGAACTTGTGCTGTGGCTCAAAATGGTAGAGTGCTAGCCTTGAAAATAAAATTCAGTGTCAGCACCAAGGCCCTGAATTCAAACCCCATGACCACCATCAACAACAAAAATCTGAAAATTTAACATTCGAAGCTACATCCATCCCATTATCATTCTGATTGGAATGACAGCTATATCAAAGGGTGTACTGAACTAAGTCTCTCACTTTTCAAAGTCTTAAAACTTAAGATATCAAGCTGGGCACCGGTGGCTCACACCTGTAATCCTAGCTACTAAGGAGGCTGAGATCTGAGGATCACGGTTCAAAGCCAGCCTGGGCAGAAAAGTCTGTGAAATTCTTATCTCCAATTAACCTCCAGAAAACTGGAAGTGGCATTGTGGCTCAAGTGGTACAACGCTTGCTCAAGGACAGCGCCTAGACCTAGAGTTCTAGAGTTCAAGCTCTATGACCAATAAATCAAAACAAAACAACAAAAAAAACCTAGATATCAAAGGAGAAAGGTAATCAGTTGAGTATCTAGGAATGAGGGACTTAAGGGAAGACAGCCACCACTAGAATATTCTTCTATCAGGAAGATACCAGAGCTTCTAGCTTAGCTTCTTGGCTACATTCTAGCTTTCAGGAAGTAGGTGGAGTTAAGATGCCTCTCACTGGAACAGTCTGTTCTTGTCTGATGTCATTGTGACGTTGATACTGCTACAGGCTTTAACTTGTGGGTTCGGGAACTTCCATCATTGCTTAGATTCCCTGAGGAACTATATTCTAGTCATGGTTCACTTCAACACTGGGCTGGGTCTAAACTCTAACTCTGTGATCTTGTTTTCAGGACTTTTCTTTATGACAGAGAATAACTTTAGATTCCTACCCCAGATCCAATTCCTTCAAATCTGACCTTCACTATTTGGGTCACACAGTTCTGAAAAATGGCAAACTCTGCTACAAATCTCCTCCCGGTCACTCTGACTCACTGAGTATTTTGAAACCAAATTTAAGACATCTGGAAGATACAAGAATCAGCTGGTAATCCTAGAGAGCTGACATGTCTTTTTCTTTCTTTGCTTTTAGAGATGCACAAGAGCAAGAAAACTGAGGCACTGCAGAAATAGTAAAAGAGCTGGTCAAAAATCAGCCCGAGAATAGCTGGGAGTGTTGTTCCAGCTCCAAAGCATTGCTGCTAGATAAACCAAATCAAAAGGACTCAAGCACCTCTTTTTTTTTGGGGGGGGTCCGGTCATGGGACCTGAACTCTGGGCCTGGGCGCTGTCCCTCAGTTCGTCAGCTCAAGGCTAGCGCTCTACCACTTTAGCCACAGCGCCACTTCCAGCTTTTTTCTTTTTTGCTTATGTGGTGCTGAGGAATCGAACCCAGGGCCTCATGCATGAGGGGCAAGCACTCTACCACTGAGCCACCTTCCCAGCCCTCAAGCACCTCTTTATATCTCAACTATCCTCTCAACCAAGTCTGTACCAGTAACTTGCATGGATTACACCACCACACCCTCCTCCTCCCAGGCTAATGCTCAGATCCCATTAATAGGCCCTGCTTCACCTCATACCTGCAGATAGGTCTTGTATTCAATGAGCTTCTCAGTGCCACGATGAAGAAGCCCAACATGAGGGTCACATTTCCGCACACTCTCTCCACTCAGTTCCATCACTAGTCGCAGGACTCCATGGGCTGCTGGGTGTTGGGGCCCGAAGTTCAGGGTAAGGTTCTTCACTACTATGTCCTTTGGAGGGTCTACATCTGAGAAGTGGGAAGTAGCCAAATGGTAATTCCCTTGGGAACCCACCAGAGACAACAAGGAGCTAAGCCTCTCCCTGTAGACTTTCCATCTCATTATTTATACCTTGTTAATTTCCTCATCTCCAAACAACTAGGAAGATGACCATTAAAGGGGGAAAATGGTAGAGCTGAACTTTCTGAGGAGAGGACAGTGAATCTCACTCATTATCTCCTAGAGCACTTTTTCAATATCCTTGAAAAAGCACCCAGGCCTCAAGTTCAAGATGAAGTACTGACACACACATACAGAATGTAATCATTACCATTACAGCTAACACTTTAATAGCCCTCCTTATGTGCCAGTTACTACTATAAGCACTTATTTTAATTGATTTAACTCTCAAAACAACTATTTCAGTAGTAGATATTGATATTATTCTCATTTTATTACAGATACTGAGGCCAGAGAGCTCAAATGACTTCTCTAGGATAACAGAACAAATTAAGTGACAACCAGGATTTGAATTCAGCCTGCTTAGTTCCAAGTTCTACATACTCTTAACTACTATTATAATAGTATCTGGTGAAAATAGCTGATGGCCAACCAGCCAGGAAACACATATTTAATGCTAATAACTATTACTAAGTGACAGCTTTTATCCTCAAGAGGCTTACACTTTGGTTTGTAAAATAGCTCATATGAAAAACTAGTAATGTGTCAAATTTATTGTTACTAAGTGGCTTTACCACTAAACACTTACAGGAATATTTAGACCACTAAAAAGACTTCATGTAATAGCATTGGAAATGGTTCTTAAATGTAGGTAATGATTCAGATAGGTAAAGGAAAGAAAGGCATTTCCAGGCTTTGTAATCAATTCTGGTCAAATCTTAGAAGCAAGGTGGCAAATATCTGTGGAAATTTTATTAGGACTTCCCAAGGTAGAAACATGTTATAAGCTCTGGGACAGTGCCTAGGCTCTGAATTCAAACCCCAGGACTGGCACACAAGCATGCATGGGCACACACACACACACACACACACACACACACACGAAGATGAGGTCTAATACAAAATAAATCAGAAGAGTAACAGCAATGAAAATTGAAAAGGAGCTGATCAAATATGAAACATTATGAAAGAATCTACATGCATCAGTAACATATGGAGGGCAAGAGGGAAAAAAAAGACTGAAATGACTGAAAATTTCAATCCTTAGAAGAAAAGGATAGCATTGATCAAAAGCAAAACGTGAAGATAACCTAGTTTTGATGGGGAAAAAATGTTTGTACTCAAGAGAGATTTCATCTGAGTGTCAGTGAGAAAACCACCTTGTCCAAAGAGAGAAGTAGAAATGTATTGAACCTGGAAAATTGAGTCCAAATGTTTAAATTTGTTTTTTTTTATTGTTGGTTGTGGGGCTTGAACTCTGGGCCTGGATGCTATCCTTGAGGTCTTTCGCTCAAGGCTAGTGCTCTACCTCTTGAGCCACAGCACCACTTCCAAATGTTTAAATTTGATAAGGACCTTTTGGTACTGTCTGGGACTACTTTTTTTTTTTTTTTCCTTTGGGAATGCCCTTCTTGTCCTTCTCTGCCTAACTAATATCTGCTATTGTAACTTTTATTATGTTTGTTGAATTGAGTGGAAAAAGAAGAAAACAGGAAAAACTTGGTTGAGATGGGAGAAGGCTTAAGGGCACTTAAAAATCAGCTAGGAGCAGGGACTGGTTTGGTTTGAAATAGCAGCTCTAGGCACTTACCATTCCAAGGAGGAGGCTTCCAGTGGGCTGTTTCTTTGGTGGGGTACATGACAGGTCCTGCAAACTGCTGTGCCCATTCCACATCTGGCTGCCATTGCCGAGCCCCTCTGAGGAGTTAAAGATAGATCCTAGATAAAGCGCCTATTTGGCTGCTCTATTCCCATTCATGCTCCAGTGGGCTCAAGGAATGATATCCTGAATCCTTTCATGCCAAGTCACTGAGACATTTGGACATGCAAAGTTAGGGGTCCAAGCTCTTTCATATTTTCGTCTATTCATACTGCCATCCAGGTGAATATGAGAAAGGTGTTTACTTAAGGTCAACCTAAGATGATTGTCAGGTGGGGGGTAAAGGGGCAAGGGAGAGGGACGGAGTTGGGATGGAGACTAAGCCACTGTGAGAAAGAAGAGAAGAGGAAAGTCAGAAAGTGAGGGACGAAGAAAAGGGTAGAAGGGAGATGCCATTCTGGTCTTTTAGTTGAGCTGGGCTCAGGTATGACAGAAGAGGTGCACTCAAATCACTAAAGCTGAAGGGCAGGATCCCCACGCCAGGGACTACACTGCTGGCAGAATAAGTTCAAGAACCTCTTCCCTTCCTCGGCCACATAGGGCACCACAGCATCTGGCAGCCTGAGAAAACAGGCCTGGGTGAGGGGGCGGAGATCGCAGGCCCAGGTCATTCCTTCCTAGTGGTTCGCATGGCCTGTAAGAGTGTCCTCAGACTACGAGAGGACAACTTGGGGAGAACATATCGAGGGCGACCCTCGGTCTCACCTGCTGGGCTGAATCGGCAGTTGGATCCTAGCCCCGGGCCGCAGGACCTGAGCCCCGAGGTTCCGGAGACCTTGGACAGCCCTCAATGCCGCCATCTTACCCTGGCTGCAGACCGCGAGAAGGAGAACCTGGCGGAAGTGACTCCCGCGCGCTTCCTTGAGTGCTTCTCTGGGCTTAGCACAATGGGTACGCCATCTTGGAAGCTGGCAGGACCGCCTACCGCAAAACCCGTTCACATCCGGTTTCTGCCCCTCGGCTTCATGTGTGCTTAAAGTAACTGGTGACGGCCTTCATCTTTATTGAGGGCGTTCTTCCCAAGGCTCTCGGTAGAATTTCTAGGCGCCCGTAAAAGAAAACTCGCAGCTCCAGCCGGTGGCGGTGTCGCACTTTGCGCTCTGCTCTTTAGGCCTGTCCCGGGCCCACACCTCCCTCCGGCCTTGGTCAGCTTCCTGCTGCAGGCCTGTTTTCCGACTATTCCCTTCTGGGATAGCCCGTCTTTGTGAGTCTGTTACCTCCCAGTCGGGGAACTCAAAGGAGCTCGTTTCCAGATGTTCTCAATCCGGATTGGGGAGAAGCCCAAATTGGGCGTGTCTGAGGTCTCCTGCCAAAACAAAACAAAAAAGGGTAGATACCACGGCCACCCTGGTTGAGGATGGTGCCACTCCAGTGTGTGCCACTCCAGACATCGGTGTGGAAGACCTCGGTGGGTGACCCCCATATCCGATAGCCTTCAACCCTATACAGAATCACAAACCCAGGAAGCGCCCTCAGATATGTCTCATACCCCACTTCCGTCCGGTTATGCTCTTTTTCCCTCATGTTTTTCTGCCACAGTCCTCAGTAGTGACCAACAGCGAAGAAACAATAGCACCAGAACTTTGATCCCAATTCTGTATGGACAAAAAGCTTTCTTGCCTTGGAGGCAGGTTCTGTCTGTCTCTCTCCAAGCCCAACCCCAGCTTGGCCACCCACCGGTTTGTATAATGTTCCCATCCTGAGACTGGAAAAAAGGCCTTCCTTCAAATCTCCCCTGGACAGGGTCCCTGGGACACAGCCCACCAGCAGTGTAGCAGGGTGGTGCAGACAGACCAGGGGAGTGGCAAAGACAGAATTCTTAGCTGCAAAGAGGAGAAAGCCAGACTTCTAGCCTGAAAAATTGACCTAATGGGAACCATACCAAAGGGTGGGGCCAAATCTCTGTCTGTGGGAACTGACCAGGACCTAGAACAGACAGGGCAGAGGCTTGGTGCCCTTACCCTCCACATTCCCCATTTTTCTAGGCCCTCTCACCCTCTATTGTTTAAATAAATGTGTTGATGGGAGGTGGTGACTGCATTTATTTGCCCTAATACAGCCTAGGAGAAATCAGGATAGACTTTGAGCTGCTTGTCCCTGGGGGGCAGCTTGAGCTGGGACTGGAAGAAGGCTCCTGGGGGGGGGGCGGGGTGCTTCTCAGGACACTACATCTTTTGTGCCTTCTCCCTGCTGCCAACACCCACACACATACACACACACTGTTGCTGTCGCTCTAAGGCCCTTTGTCTTTCACTGCTTAGTAACCCCCTTTGTCCTCATCTCAGATGGGGGATGGAAAGGGGCATCTGGTGATAGCTCCTCTTGTCCCTGGTTTCACATCTTTTGTCTGACTTCTCTAACCTCAGCCCCCTCCATTTAAGACTAGGGTGGTTCAGTGCATGTGTTGGGTCAAGAGGGATGTCTGGTAGTCACAAAGGAGCAGGTGATACAGGAAATGATGGGCACCAGGGTATTAGTGACCTGAGCAGGAAGGGAGGAGGAAAGGAAGTATTCTGGAGGATATGATATAGGAACAGGAGGTGACAAGGCAGAAGGTGAATTAGGGAATGGAGGCAGGGAAAGGTGGTCCCCCTCTGGGAAAGGGAAGGATCTGCTGACTACACACTCTTTCCTGGGGATTTCCTGGGGAAACCAATGGGGTGGGGTGAGCAGGAATTACCCAAATTTTGAATTCTTCCCTGCCTTTAAAATCCACCCTAATACCTATTTTCTGAGACCAATCAAAAACCAAACACTTCCCATTCTCATCAGCCACTCACCTCACCTTAGGGTCTCGACTCATGTTTTCCCCAGTCCCCTAAAATGCTGCTTCCACTCTCTCCCCACCCAATGAAGAAAGAAAAGTCAGAGATTGCTAGATATTCCTGGAACTCCTGGGTCCTCAGGGGAAGGTGGGACCAGAAATTGATCCAGGCTAATTCTGGGTTCCTGAGACAAATCCTTCCTGTGGTAGGGCCTGACTGAGCAAGACTGGTAGATGTGTTTATGGGAAAGAAGGGATAAGATAGTTGAGAGTGGGTAGAAGACCAAGACCCTAGGGGAGGCTACTAAGAGCTGAGCCAGAGAATTGGAGGAAGTGAGAAGGGGAAACCTTAGAGTTGACTCTTCCAAGCTTTAGAGGGAACAAAGGTAGTGGTAACTCAAGAAAGGGAAGCTTGAGGGAGAAAAGAGACATTTGGGGAGATACCACCTTGGATTCTCCTTCTGTTAAAAAAAAAAAAGTTTGCTGGAGCCAGGTGGCTTATACCTATAATTCCTAGCAACTCAAGAGGCTGAGATCTGAGTATTGCAGTTCAAAGCCAGCCTGGTTAAGAAAGTCCCTGAGACTCTTACCTCTAACCACTAAGAAGCTGGAAGTAGAGCTATGGCTCAAGTGGTAGAGCACTAGCCTTGAGCATAAAGCTCAGGGACAGTGCCAAGGCCCTAAGTTCAAGTCCCAGGCCTAGCACAAACAACAGTAAAAAGAAAGGTTGTCAACCCTCCTACCTGGCTGCCTACCTCCTCCATAAGTCCATTCCAGCAGAATCAACCACCTTTGGAAAGTAAACTCGCTAACCCCACTCTCTACTTCCTGACTCTCAGCCTCTTTTCTTTCAGCTGCTTGGTCCTATCATGAGCCATGTCCAACTGTCTTTTCCTCCCTCCCTCTCTTCTTTCCTCCCTTCCTTCCTCCCTCCCTCCCTCTTTTTGTTCAATACTGACGATTAAACCCAATTGGGGTTTAACACTAGGCATGTTTTAACCACTTCCCTAGCCCTTTTGTTTCTATTTTATTTTTAAGATATGGAGTTCTACTACCTTAGTCTGGACTGGTCTTGAACTGGAAATCTTCCTTTCTCCACATCCCAAATAGATGCAAATTACAGACTTGTGCTCATGCCCAGGTTTTAGCTACCTATTTAATTTGTTCTTTCCACTTCATGCTTTACCTATTCCCTGCCCTCTTTTGACCAGGAAGCCTACTCAGTCCCCTCAACCCTAGAAATCAACCTCTGAGGCAGAGGGCAACATGAGGAAGGGCAGAAAGAAAGGGAGGACAGGTTAGATGGGAACAGGAACTTTCCCAGGACAGGATCCTATCTGTGTGTTGGCCATTCCCTTTCCCTGAGTCTCTATCTCCCCTGGAGCTCTGTCCTACCAAAAAGAGACAGCTGAGGCCTGATTGTGGGATTTGGAAAAAAGCTATGTCATCAGCTGGCTCTGTGCCTATAATCCATCTGGCTGCTAGATTTCCCTCCCCTGGGCAAATCCGCCTCTCCCCTTTTTAAAGAAAACAAAAACTAAGATTTTGGGAAGCAATGATACATCTGAGTCGCACTGACAGAGCTCTCAGCTGAGTAGCACACAGATCAGCCAATCATAGAAACTCTGGGATGCTTAAAAGAGCTGGTGAGGAGAGAGGCTAGGGAGAACACAGAGGCACAGACACAGGAGAGACAGAGGACAAAAGAGAGACAGACAGACAGTGAGAGACAGAGAGAAACAGAGAGGAGAGGGGGGGGGCAGGCCCAGCAAAAGGGGACAGAGAGGACAGACCCAGAGGTGAAGCCAGACAGTCTTACAGAGGGAGAAAGTGAAGCAGCTGTGGAAGACACAGGCAGAGACAAAGATTTGGTAGAGGAGGACACAGGAGGAGAGTTTGGAGGAGACAGACCCTGGACACCTTTCTTAAGGGTTAAGTTTTCTCTATCTTCTCTGTCTCCAACCCCTCTTGAAAACTCTGTCTCCAACCTTGGCACAAGTCCAAGTCCCCAGGCTTTTGAGAGGAGCTTTCTACAGCGAGGGTGTGGAGGACTTTGTGCCCCAAATGGCCTCAGTCCCTCCCAGCTGGCGCACTCGTGCCTTGTCCTGGATGGGCTTGCATCCCAGGAGGGGCTTGGCCCGGTGCTGGCTGCTGAGAGCCGAGTTCCGCCTGCTGCTTCACTCAGTGCCTCGCTCCCTGCCACTGTGGCTGCTTCTGCCGCTGCTGGCCTCCCTCCTGCCCTCAGCCTGGCCAGCCAGCCCCCTCCCCCGGGAGGAGGAGATCGTGTTTCCAGAGAGGCTCAATGGCAGTGTCCTGCCTGGCTCAGGCTCCCCTGCCAGACTGTTATACCGCTTGCCAGCCTTTGGAGAGATGCTACTACTTGAGCTGGAGCAGGACCCAGGAGTGCAGGTCGAGGGGCTGACCGTACAGTACCTGGGCCAAGCACCTGAGCTGCTGGGTGGAGCAGAGCCAGGTACCTACCTGACAGGCACCATCAATGGAGATCCGGAGTCAGTGGCATCTCTGCACTGGGATGGCAGAGCCCTTCTAGGGGTATTGCAGTACCGAGGAGCTGAACTCCACCTTCAGCCCCTGGAGGGAAGCACTCTTAACTCTGCTGGGGGGCCTGGAGCTCACATCTTACGCCGGAAAAGTCCTGCCAGTGACCAGGGGCCCATGTGCAGTGTCAAGGCTCCTCTTGGGAGTCCCAGCCCCAGTCCCCGAAGAGCCAAGGTAAGCAGCCCTGGAGTCTGTGTCCTGCAATGTCCTCCCGCCATGTCTGTCCTACTGACCCTTATTCAGCCTCTCTTTACCCACTTCCGCTTCTGGCTATTCTGCCGCCTTCCCTCTGCCTGCCTTTCTTGCAGAGTCTCTGGCCTCTCTTTGCTTTAGCTTAGAAGAGCTAAAGCAGACCACCAAGCTGCCCTAAGGTTTCTCTGAGTGGGTCAGATGCCTGAGACTGGAATGGCCTTTCCTTCCCTCCTTCCGCCCCCTTTTCCTGCTTGGCCATTGACAGCCCCTACTGGCATAGTATCCAGCAATAAAGTTTTCCTAACCATTAGCCTTGGCTCTTTTCTCTGCCCCAATGGTTTTCACCTCCACCCCCACCCACCAGCTACAAGAGTGAGGTTTGAGGCTCAAGGGATTGGCCTGTGGCTTCTGATGGTGTCTTTAAAACTGTTTTGGCAAACTGCAAACCAGAACAGGACTGAGAAAGAAGGAAAGGCATCCCATACCTCCTTCTGGTCAATCCCTTTCCCACAATGCAGACTGACTGCAAGGCTGCCTGAGACTCCATCCTTTCCTCCCTCCCACTCCTGGGTCTCCCCACTCTTTCCTTCTTCCTCTCCCTCCTCCCTTTCTAGCTTTAATCCAGACCAGACGCTGCTCCTTCCACACCCGCCACGCTGAGATCTGGCCCTGGCCCTGGATGCTGACTGAATTGTTCCTCCAACCACACAGGGCCGACACGTTGCAACCTAACCCTCCAGCCTTAGTCCCACAGGCCCCGGCCAAACTTAAGCCTGGGAGACCCCAAAGGCTCCTCCTGGAAGCCATCCCAGCTGCTTTTTAAACTTAGGGGCTCACACAGCCCTGGGATGTAGCATCCCTTTTTCCTCTTCTTCTCAGATCAACAGCTGATTTCTCAGCTTTTCTTACCACAAAAGGCCTTGGGCTAAGGGTGGGGGAGGGAGGACCCAGCCCCTTCAGGAATCTTGTGGGGTAAGCCCAGCTGGCTCTACCGAGTTCCAGACCCAGGAAGTGAGGGAGGGAAGAAGCCATGCATGGGTCTGGGAAACTATTTCAGGATCTCCTCTATCTTTTTCTCTCCAGCGTTTTGCTTCACTAAGTAGATTTGTGGAGACCCTGGTGGTGGCAGATGACAAGATGGCAGCATTTCATGGTGCAGGACTAAAACGCTACCTGCTGACAGTTATGGCAGCAGCAGCCAAGGCCTTCAAGCATCCAAGCATTCGCAACCCTGTCAGCTTGGTGGTGACTCGGCTAGTGATTCTGGGGTCCGGTGAGGAAGGACCCCAAGTGGGACCCAGTGCAGCCCAGACCCTACGCAGCTTCTGTGCTTGGCAGCGGGGCCTCAACACTCCTGAGGACTCGGACCCTGACCACTTTGACACAGCCATTTTGTTTACTCGTCAGGTGAGGCACTAATTGGCATCACGGGCCAGGCACTGCACAGTAACAACATGCAGCATTACATAGATTGTGACAGAAATGGTGCCTGACCCCAGCCACACTGCTATGCGGCTATGTGGGTCCTGACAGTGCTGGGTACTTATAGCCTTGACTCCACTGATCTGGATCACAGCCTACTGGACCCAGGTATCTTGGCTTTCTATGCTTCTTCTATGATTCTCTCTGCAGGATCTGTGTGGGGTCTCCACTTGTGATACACTGGGTATGGCTGATGTGGGCACTGTGTGTGACCCAGCTCGGAGCTGTGCTATTGTGGAGGATGATGGGCTCCAGTCAGCCTTCACTGCTGCTCATGAACTGGGTAAGGTGGTAATGGGGGAAAAGGGGAAGGAGCTATGGGACACCTGGAGTGGAATAGAGAACTATCAGGGATAGGTTGGGAACTGGAGCTATTGAGCTTACCAGGGTGCAAATAGAAGTCCCAAGGTGTTTCTTCCTATTATTCAGGCCTGGGTCTAGGTCTATAATCCTCTGCTATCGGTATATACAAATGTGGGTTTTCCTGTTAAATAGGATAGTATGTGGAAATTTACTCTAAATTGTGTGTACCTGTATGAATGTGTTTAGAGGGGGATTCAGTCAGGCAATAGGAGTTCAGGATTGGGAATTTTGGCTGAACTGAAAAAGAGAGAGTGTTCTTCTCTTTAGAGAACAGAGTAACTAAGGACTACATTTTGAGGGACCCTCAGAGCACCAGAAAGGACCTGAATGTACATAATTGCAACCAGACTTATGAGGTAATGCCCAAGGGCATAGGAATGAGACTCTTGGATGCTAGCAGTACTTCTGTTCTTCCAGGCCATGTCTTCAACATGCTCCATGACAACTCCAAGCAATGTGTCAGTTGGAATGGGCATGGGAGCACCTCTCGCCATGTCATGGCTCCTGTCATGGCTCATGTGGATCCCGAGGAGCTGTGGTCTCCATGCAGTGCCCGCTTTATCACCAACTTCCTGGACGATGGCTATGGTAAGATGACACTTGAAAGGATCCGTCACATCCATGCCAGGGGACCACACAGAGGCAGGCAGGCACAGGAGAAAGATTACAGGGAGGGGCTCAGGTCTGGGAAGAGCTGAGGACCAAAGGTGGGCATAATGCTTACAACACTGACCTTTCCCTGTTCAGGAGTCAATTCCTGTCCCTCCACTCAACCCTCGCTTCTACCACATTTCCCCAAAGCCTTACTGACTCCTTCAAGTGTGCTTTCTTCTCTACTGTGTGGGATGGGGTGAGAAATGTTGCTGTCTTTATATGGTTCCCCACTTCCTACCAGAATGGATTACAACCAGAAGAGGCAAATTTTAGCTCAGTAGAATCAGAATAGAGCTCTGAAAGACTAGAACTGTCCAGCCCTGGAATAGGCTGGTTATAACCTTGTCACTCAATGAAGTGTACAAGAACAACAGGATAATGGTTTTGGCTCAGAGTCCTCAGTGAGAAGAATACTCAAGTTCTGTAGTGATCCAGGTGCCAGGGGCTCACGCTTGTCATCCTAGCTACTCAGATTGAGATCTGAGGATCATGGTTTGAATACAGATTGGGCTAGAAAGTCTATGAGAATCTCATCTCTGATTAACCAGCTAAAAGCTGGAGTGGAGCTGTGGCTCAAGTAACAGAGCAACAGCCTTTAGTGAAAAAGCTGAGAGACAGCACATATGCACAAAAAAAGATGTGGTAGGAAAGAATGGGTGGGAAGATTTTTGCTCTTTAGGCGTATGCAGGTGTGTGACCATAAGTTACTTCATCTTTTTGTAGCTGATAGATAAATTAGGTATAAAAATGTCAACTACCTCATAGGCATTTTGCCATAATTAACTAAGATAGTGTGGGCCAATCATTAAGCTAATGCTCATCACATAGTAAGCATCCAACTAAGTGTAGTTGCTATTTAAAGTCTCATACAGCTCTAAGATTTTTTCCCCACTGGGATCCTCAAACCCCAGAGGGCCTAATATTTCAACTAGCAATCCTAAACGTTCTCTTTAGGCCCTTGCTGACTTTGTGCCTCAACTCCCTTCCCAGGACACTGTCTCTTAGACAAGCCAGAGGCCCCCTTGCATCTGCCTGTGACTTTTCCTGGCAAGGACTATGATGCTGACCGCCAGTGCCAACTGACCTTCGGGCCTGACTCCCACCATTGTCCACAGCTGCCACCACCCTGTGCTGCTCTCTGGTGCTCTGGCCACCTCAATGGCCATGCTATGTGCCAGACCAAGCACTCGCCCTGGGCTGATGGTACCCCCTGTGGACCCGCACAGGCCTGCATGGGTGGCCGCTGTCTCCACGTGGACCAGCTTAAGGACTTCAATGTGAGATCCAGGGCAGGGGTGGGAGTTAAGGGATCTAGCCCTAGGCCTAGGATAGAGTATATTTATCCCATTCTTCTATTCTGTGCCTCTGCAGGTTCCACAGGCCGGTGGCTGGGGGGCCTGGGGACCTTGGGGTGACTGCTCTCGGAGTTGTGGGGGTGGTGTCCAATTCTCATCTCGAGACTGCACAAAGCCTGTGCCCCGGAATGGTGGCAAGTACTGTGAAGGCCGTCGTACCCGTTTCCGCTCCTGCAACACAAAGAACTGCCCAACAGGCACAGGTGAGGGTGGGAAGCACATGGCAACGCTTGGGACGCAAAGACAGAACAGGAAGGTCTTACCCTTGAGTATTGGACTAAGATGTTGCTCACCTCTGCTGCTGGAGGAAGTGGCTTTATTCTTTTCATTATCTTTTTTTTATTATCTTTAAGTAGTTGTACAAAGGATGTGCCATTAAACAAAGCAGTTTAGCCAGGAGCTGGTGGCTCACGCATGTAATCTTAGCTACTCAGGAGGCTAAGATCTAATCATCATGGTTTGAAGCCAGCTGGGGCAGGAAAGTCTGTAAGACTCTTACCTTCAGTTAACCACCAGAAAACCAGAAGTGGTGTTATGGCTCAAACTGACAAGAGTGCTAGCGTTGAGCAAAAAACAGCTCAGGGACAGCACCCAGGCCTTAATTCGAGCCCCATGACCAACAAAAAAGACAAAAAGCAACACTCTTACCCCTCCTCAACTTTAACTTTTTTTTTGGGGGGGGGTCCGTTCATGGGGCCTGAACTCTAGGCCCGGGCACTGTCCCTCAGCTCTTCAGCTCAAGGCTAGCTCTCTACCACTTGAGCCACAGTGCCACTTCCGGCTTTTTTTCCCCCTGCTTATGTGGTGCTGAGGAATCGAACCCAGGGCCTCATGCATGCAAGGCAAGCACTCTACCACTGAGCCACCTTCCCAGCTCCTCAACTTTAATCTTTTAATACTGTCCCTAGAACTCTGTGGAGGAGAGAGATTCCTTTGATGAAGTCTAAGGTTCTGTGAGACTAAGTAGGAGTGGTTTGTGGGACAATGTGAGAAATGAGGGATGGATTCTGATTGTTCATTTTACTTCTACAGCACTGACCTTCCGTGAGGAGCAATGTGCTGCCTATAATCACCGCACTGACCTCTTCAAGAGCTTCCCAGGGCCCATGGACTGGGTCCCTCGCTACGCAGGTGTAGCCCCCCAGGACCAATGCAAACTCACCTGCCAGGCCCGGGCACTGGGCTACTACTATGTGCTGGAACCAAGGGTGAGGGCCAAAAGCCCCAGGCTCTGTTTATACTCACATAAATAGATTCCTCTGCTTTCTGATGGCAAAAGAACTCCAAAATGACACCATTGCTAGCATTTCTATAGCCACACCACACTAGCTCTAAGGTTCACTCAGACTCTGATGGGACCTGAATGGTGAAAATATCATTGTGTGGTCTTTTGAATAAGTCCTTGACTCTACATTTTTTTTTTTTTTGGTTGGTCATGGGGCTTGAACTCTGGGCCTCGGCGTGTCCCTGAGCTTTTCAGCTCAAGGCTACCACTTCCATTTTCTGGTTGTTTATTGGAGATTAGTCTCTCACAGACTGCTTGAATTGGCTTTGAACCCTGATCCTCAGATCTCAGCCTCCTATGTAGCCAGGGTTGCAGGCGTGAACCAAGCGCCTGGCCCTTGACTCTAATTTTTAAATTACAATTATGGCCTTATTTAATTAATGTACAGTCAGTGTCTCAATGAACAGGCTTCCAGTAGATTAATATCTGGGCACTGCCTCTGTTGAAGGCCAGAAAGAAAAACAAGCCCCAGCAGTAGCATTTGCTTCTTCTTTCTCCTCTAACCTGTGAGAGTTCTGCCCTCTAGTGACCATCTGGCAGCATTACCATTTAGTTACCATTTAGTTAAGGGTTTAATGTTGGGACTGAGACCTGAAATTACCACCTTGGCTTCTGTTTACCATGTGTAATCGTTGAACAAGTTTTTGGATCTTTCTAAACTTCTCTATCTCTAGAAACCTTTAAAAGCAGTTGTTTCATGGTCATAAAATATTTAATACACTGCATGATTCACATTCAGTACTCTGAAAATGGAAACTGGTAATTATTATTACTACTACAATGACACCTCCTTACAGCCTGGAGCTCATTTTATATAGCATTCATGGCTGGGAAGGTGGCTCAGAGACACAGTGCTTGTCTTGCATGCATGAGGTCCTAGGTTCGATTCCTTGGCACCACATAAACAGAAAAGGCTAGAAGTAGCACTGTGGCTCAAGTGGTAGAGCGCTAGCTTTGAGCTGAAGAGCTGAGGGACAGCAACCAGGCCCAAAGTTCAGGCCCCACAACCAGCAAAAAAAAAAATTAACATATCTTTATTCATCTTTTCTTACTTCCTTTCCTTGAAGGGACCTGCATTGTCTGGTTTACCAAGCCCTTCTGACTTAGGAAGAATCCTTTTATATTTTCCCCTCTCTTCTCCTCAGGTAGTAGATGGAACCCCCTGCTCTCCAGACAGCACCTCAGTCTGTGTCCAGGGCCGCTGCATCCATGCTGGCTGTGATCGCATCATTGGCTCCAAAAAGAAGTTTGACAAGTGTATGGTGTGTGGTGGGGATGGTTCTGGCTGCAGCAAGCAGTCAGGCTCCTTCAGAAAATTCAGGTTACTTCACTATTTATTTTTTTCCTTTTATTTTTTTCTGTGTGCTCTTCTGGGAGATACAGAGGTAATTCAACATTATTTCTAGTCTGGAAGGGAGATGGGCCAGGTGCTGGTTGCTCCCATCTGTAATCCTAGCTACTTAGGAGGCTGAGATCTGAGGATCACAGTTCAAAAAGCCAGCCTGGGCAGGAAAGTCCATGAGACTCTTATCTCTAATAAAACCACCAGAAAACTGGAAGTGGCACTGTGGCTCAAGTGGTAGAGTGCCTTGAGCTGAAGAGCTCTGAGACAGTGCCCAGGTCCAGAGTTCAAGGCCCATGACTGACCCCTCCCCCCACCAAAAAAAAAGTTAGCAGGGAGATGGATGATTAGGCAGTACATTGTCCCATATGTTCAACAAAGGGTGGTATGGGGTGGGGTGAGAGAGCCCCAATGGGCATAAGGGAAAACTTCTTAGGAGATGACCTCTGAACTAGAAGAGTAGAAATTACACAGGCACTTAGGAAGGGAGGCTAGAATGGTGCTTCAATAAGAGGTAAAAGGTGTAAATAAATATCCAGAAATACAAAGGTGAAGGGCATATTGCATATAGCTGTGATCTGGCTGTATAGTTCACTTAGGTTTGAGTAGACAACCCTATATACACCGCACACACATATTTAATCAAACAAATACAGTACAAATCTGGAGGGGGAAGGAGAGATTCAGAAGATGCTAAGTGCCTCATCTACTTTTTCTGCACAGGTATGGATACAACAGTGTGGTCACTATTCCTGCTGGGGCCACTCATATCCTTGTCCGGCAGCAGGGAGGCCCTAGTGTCCGGAGCATCTACCTGGCCCTGAAGCTCCCAGATGGCTCCTATGCTCTAAATGGAGAATACACACTGATGCCCTCAGCCACAGATGTGGTACTGCCTGGGGCAGTCAGCCTGCGCTACAGTGGGGCCACTGCAACCTCTGAGACACTGTCAGGCCATGGGCCACTTGCTCAGCCTTTGACGCTGCAAGTCCTGGTAGCTGGCAACCCACAGAATGCACGCCTCCGATATAGCTTCTTCATTCCTCGGCCAGCCCTTTCAACACCACGTCCCCCTCCCCAGGACTGGCTGCACCAAAGAGCACAGATCCTGGAGATACTTCGGCGACGCCCCTGGGCAGGCAGGAAATAACCTCTCCATCCCGGCTGCCCTTTCTGGGCACCCGGGCCTCATACTCAGCAGGGAGAATGAGGGGGCTTCTGCAGCTGTCTCAGGCTCAGATACAGTGGGGAGGAGCAATGGGAATGAGCCCTACCCTTCCTCTCTGTCCTAAAGAGCAGGCTGGTCCTGCCCAGGTTTCCTGCCCAGGGAAGCAGTGATGGGTTGGTGGATGGAAGGGGCTAGCAGACAGTCCCCTATGTAAACTTCCCCCTCAGCCTTGCTGGTCACAGGAGGGAGGGGGAGAGGAAGATGGGTCCTGAGCCCCATTTGTATTTATTATTTATTCATTTTTATTTAGCACCTGGGAAGGGGATAAGGACTAGAGTCCTAGGAAAATGGATTCCTACCCCTTATAGCCCCATCCTGGCTAGGAAACCTAGGGAGAAAATGATAAGTATAAATGGTTTGTGTGTGTGTATGTGTGTGTGTGTGTGTGTGAGAGAGAGAGAGAGAGAGAGAGAGGAGAGAGAGAAAATGTGTGCTTATGAATGAGGTACAACTTGCCCTGCTCTCCTCTTTGTGAATAATATTTACTGGGCAAGAGAGAGTTAAGGGTAAGCAGGGCCTTCAGGGAGTGAGGAATTATCACATTTTTAAACTGTAAATTGAATTATGTTATTTATGTACTTTTGGAGTCAGACAGATGTGGGCTGCACCTCATATCTCTGAGTATGTTTTCTAATTTTGCCAATAATGATATCTCCCTTAGAAATTTGTGGCTATGTGGGGCACTGGTGGCTCGTGCCTGTAATCCTAGCTACTCAGGCTGAGATCTGAGGATTGAGGTTCAAAGCCAGGCAGGACAGGAAAGTCTGTGAGACTCTTATCTCCAGTAAACCACCAGAAAACTAGAAGTGGTACTGTGGCTCAAGTGATAGAGCATTAGCCTTGAGCTGAAGAGTTCAGGGTCAGCTTCCAACCCCAGAATTCAAACCCCACGACAGACAAAAAAGAAAAAGAAAGAAAGGAGAGAGAGAGAGAGAGAGAGAGAGAGAGAAAGAGAAGAAATTTGTGGCTATAAGGACTGAATAATGTAAATAAAGAACTAGCACTCCATAAGTGCACAACAAATGGGTGCTGCTGTTGGTTATTATCATCTTCATCCACACTTCATCATTAGGTCTGCACTGCACTTAAAGGTGTCAAAGGTCCATCTATGTTATGTAAGGAGTTCCCACCCTTACCTTTAGGCTGAGTTCCTTCGACAGAACTCTTATCCTGGATTCTGAAGGGCTACCAGAGAAAGAACATTATCTCCCTCTCCTCTGTAGGCTGCCAATCACATGCTTGTCATAAATGCTTGTCAAGCATGAAGGTCTAAATGCTTGTCAAAAGGTCTAAATGCTTGTCAAGGACATGAAGGTCTAAAAATAACAAGAGCAACTAGTTCAACACAAACTTTGATTGTCAAAGGGTTCTAGAAAAGACTTTAGTAATAGAAAGAGCTCTGAAGCAAAAGCTGAGGGGTCTGAATTTAAGCTGATAGTTAGCATCCTATTACTGGCTGGTGCTGGGTAATTCATTGTTGTAGCCTCTTAAATGAGACTAATTATATCTGTTCCCACAGAGTTGTTCTGAGAGCAAAAGTTTCAATATTTTCAAATGGTAAGCAGTTACATTTATACTAGTAAATGAGTGACTGGGGCAAGGGTCTCTAAAATCAACCAATGTAAACCCAGAAGATTTACTTGAAGAGGTGAAATTTGAATGGAGTTCAAGAAGAACAGGAGATGGGTTGGGGGAAGCATGTAGAGGAAGCAAGGAAGAAAGGTCTGAGGAGAGAGGAGCCCCGTGTTCAGTGGTGGCAGAATATGGGAAGGAGAGTAGGGTCCTAGAATAGCTCTACTTTTTTTGTGAGAAGGCTTTTCTTGAAAATATACCTGGGCAGCCAGCGCCAGTGGCTTATGACTATAAACCTAGCTACTCAGGAGGCTGAGATCTGAGGAGCAGGGTTCTAAACTGGCTCAGCAGGAAAGTCCATGAGACTCTTCTCTCAAATTAACCAGAAAAATCCAGAAGTGGAGCTGTTGCTCAAGTGTTAGCCTTGAGCATAAAAGCTTGGGGTCAGCCTCCAGGGTCAGCCCTGATTTCAAAGAACCTGAGGAGTTCTGCATGTGTGTCATAGGGGGGACAGGAGGGAGCCTGTAAAAACAGAGCTTTGAGTGGCAGAAGCAGGATGACCACTAGTAACTGAGAAGCAGGCCAAATGTGGAGGTAAGGGAGTAGCTATATATGAAGACGACCTTGAGGTGATGATGAAAGAAGGGAGGATGTGAGAACCAAAGATGACTCACTCTTCCAATGTAGCCCCTCCTGGGATGTCAAATATGGATGGGTTGGGTGTTCAGATAGGTTTATGGAGCTGAGAGGCAGATGTGGCGGTTGTAGCATTTGTGTGTGCTATATGCATTGGAACTGGACTTCGATAATCAAGTTCTAAACCAGGCAAATCCTTACACAGTGGCCGTACTTTACACTACCCAGCACAGTGTCTGCTCCCTGTTCATCAGTAAGCAAAGAATTGCCCCTACTCCTCTTTCCAGTAAACATGTCTCCACTAATACGCTTGATCTCTGGCATGTCCTTTGGCCCTCCCAACAACCAGGCATGAGGAGAGAAGATCAGAGAGTGGAATGAGACCAGTGATATTGAACTGTTTAATCTAGATAGCAAAACTGGGCCACAACTAATATATTTATGGACCTTAGCATTATGAGCTCATGGTACAGTAAGCACAGCCCTATGGAAAGCTCAATGACAAAATATATCATTATGGAGGCAAATAAACAGATTACATTCAGGAGGAGGTGTGTGCCTTTTTTTCCCCCATTGAGAAACAAACAATAAAAGGAACCATAAGAAAAGGGCAAAATAAACTGCTGAGATTAAGGCCTGGAATTAATGGACTATGAGAGTTAAGGGGTGTAAAATTTGATTGAATTCTGAGGAACGGGTAATTAGGACAATGTAGAGAGCTGCGTGCAGCCGCACCTTAAAGATGGCATGGGCTTCCGCCCTCCGCCTTCCCGATGGTGAGCGCTCTCTGTGGTAAACAACTCCTTATTCGGCTAAGGCATAGAATGTGGCTTGCTTCCCAGTACCTGGACCTATTGATGGCTCCCACGTGGCATATCAGGGTTGGCTACCCAGAGGGTACTTAAGGTTGTGTATGATTCTCCCTGGGGTCAGAAGAATGCTCAAAGGTCCTGAATAAACTGCTGAGAGAAGAGCTCCGTGTTGCGTCTTTCTTGCTGGTCGAGACAGACGCGACAGGACAGCCCTTTTCATGTTTCTTTAACGTTCCTGGCAATTTACATTTCATAAATCACTTCCATATATATATATGTGCCCGGCTTTATTTGAGAATCTTAAAAGTGTAGAGACAGCCGGGCGCTGGTGGCTCACGCCTGTAATCCTAGCTCAGGAGGCTGAGATCTGAGGATCGAGGTTCAAAGCCAGCCCGGGCAGGAGAGACCGTGAGACTCCTATCTCCAATAAACCACCAGAAAAC